AGTGAGCCAACATGCACAATAGCAGCACCCGACTCGTATTATCATTGGTAACACCTGTGTTTACTATTTCAGGTCAAAATGGCTGCTTTGAAAAAGGTCTGTTGCCTCTATAACACTGATTAGTGTGGTTTTACAAATGCACTGTACACATAGAAGGGAATTAAATGAAATAGGATCTTAAATAAATATTATACCAGACCTTTCCAAAAAGGATCCTGTTAGTTATTTATGAAGGCTTACTTGCACTTTGTTAATCAAGTCCGTGCACCACAAATTGAGACAGAGAAAAACACTGATGAAACACGAAACTCAAAGCTCTATTCAACAATTTTCTAATGTCCATTTCTTGTGTGTTTATTTCTGTGTTGATTATTATGGCTGCTATCACATGCCAGTGCCAAGAACACCATGAGATTTCCCATTAGGACTATTCTTTTAAACAATGAAAGCAGGCAGGCGGTTTGTGTTTCTTTCTCTCCCTAGCGAGGTTGTTTGTGTGCCATTAAGACTTCTTTTCCAGCTACTGATTTCCTTCTCTTTCTCTTCTCCTTCTCTGTCTTCACAGCTACATTGGGGACCTTGGAATTCAGTTTGCAGTATGACCAGGAGAACAATGCACTACACTGCACCATTAACAAAGCCAAGGTGAGCCGCCATAATGACGATAATGATGACGTTAATTAGCAGCCTCTAAATGGTTGCTTTGATGGTACTTTACAAGAATTTGAATGAAATCCTTCAGTGAACAATTCAAGTGTATCTATCAACAGTCGATTCACTGCCTCTGCTTTGATCAGTCAGCATCGGGCCTTTGGTTACACTAATACGAAACAAATTGCATCACATGTTCGTACTTGTTAGATTTAGCTAAATTGATCCCTAATGTTGTGGCCATATTGACAGTTTTACTATTCATTCATTATTGATTGTACAAACACCTGTCACTACCTTGTAACAAAGCACTAAAAGGCAGATCAATATAAACCAATTGACCATTTTTCAATATGTTTTCTAATTCTGACTGTCATGTATGAATATTTTTTTACAGCAGCCTACTCTCGTATCAGCCTACACGAACTGGCAAAAAGGCTGTGGAATAGCAACTTAACACGTCCCACATTTCTCTGTGAGAGAGATATTTATATCTATTTTCATCTCATAAAGCATTAATTATTTCTAAAGCATATTGCTAGCAAACAGAACAAGAATTTGCATCGAACCAATTGAGTTTCTTTGCTTGAAGCGGCGTTAATCAGTAGGTTTTATATTGAAAAATAATCTAATGTGACTAGCTGGTAAAGAAAGGCAAACATATAGCAGCCAAAGCATCAATATTGGAGTTGGTGAAGACCAAATGAGAGCTTAAAGGAGAGTGAACATTGGACTGTAAAATAACAAATAGTGGCCAAGGCTATAGCTACCTCAACTAAAGAGATACCCTTTTTTATTTCCTCTGTTTTCTAGATATATTATTACGTTGTATTGAGAAGACTTTATAATCTGCTCCTGTTTTAGGTGTTAATTTGCCAGTGCTGCTATTTGTTATTAATGCAAGTTTACTTCCTGAATATTTAACTGTTTTTCTGATAAATTAGGAGCATAATTTTTCATCATTTCCATTAGTACAACAACATACAGTACTGCTGTCACAGTCACAGTTCTCTCAGTTGGTTGGTCTGCAGTTTCTCTTTTGAACAGAAACTATCTTCTTCTCACTCATTAATTAATTCCTATCAGATCTGCTGTGCCTTTCCTTCTCTCCATACTGAGCTGCTGACAGTGAAACTCAACACTTCCTGCAGATATCTAAAATTCAAAGCCTACCAGCCCAGTGCCAAGCTGGAGCTGCCAGTTGACCCTTCTCATGATCTGAGTGGCCTAAGCAGTAAAAGCTCAGGTGTAGCTAATAGCATAAACAACGGCTCCATTACTTTGAGGTGTGACAGTAAGCCATGTCAGTGAGCCAACAGCATGATGGTAAGGACTTGTATGGAGCCCTGAAGGGTTCAATATTAAGGCTAAATATATAAATAATGTAATAATTATTTTCATAATAACAGAGGTTTATAGCAGGTCATTTTTATTTTGGAAGATAACATTTTTATTAAAGTTAAAGTTTTATTTACTTAAAACATAAAAATAATGTTACATTTTAGTGTCACTTTTTATTTCATAATGGCACTTACCTTAACAGTAAGGTTGCCACCGCTCTCTCACCTTTCAGCCAATCACATGTTCCCTCCCTCCTAACTGCTTGATTGAGGAAGCCAACGTTGAACTGCCATGTAGCCTTGAATGGACAAACCAAACAGTGGCTGTAAGGCTGCTCACATCTTTTGTGAGATTTGCGGCCACCTCATTGCCAGGTCATCAAACACAGATGTGAGCAGTGTTCAGGTAGTTCAATCTCACAGCTAGATGCCACTAAATCCTACACACTGGTCCTTCAAGTCATTAGTAAGTGAACAAGTCACAAGACAAAATGTAACATTTTTCATTTTTAGTTTTATTTTTATTCATTTGTTCATGTTTGAAAGAGCAGCAAAGCTGAAGAGCTAAAGTATCCTGTACCGTATATCAGCTGGCACTAGATCAGAGTAGATTGCATCTGAATCAATACTGTGTACAGGCTTCTTATGGACAACCAAAGTAGCATTGACAAATTCTTAAACAATACATAATAACCAATACATCCACAATACTGGAGGTGAACTGCAATAACTGAACCATACTTAATTTTTAATGAAAAGCCCATTTTGATCCAATATACGAGTCCATATGTGTCATTCTCTCTGCTTCCCTCTCCTGCGTTTGTTGTGATGAAGTGGTGGTTCTGACAGCCATGGCTGCCGTCAGCAGCTATAACTCTTCCTATCTGTCTGCCTGAATAGCTGGTATGGAGGAAAGTGGGCATCAGAGGAGCCAGTGTTGGCAGGAGTGTTGGACAGCAGAGTGGGCATGAGGCCATCTTGATTTATGGTGGTTATTTTCTATACTGCTTTGGTCCTGGACTTCAGCTGCTGCCTAGCCAACCAAAGAAAATGCCTTTTCTCTCTCAAATAGGGCTACTGTATATCTCCATTTCCATGATTTAATTTGTTTGCTAAATCCCTTAATGGTATTTCTAGCCATAGATTTGTTTTGTTGCTTTTGCTGCCAAAGCTGCAGTAGCTTCAATAGTAATTGTGCCTACCTCAATTAAGCATTTTTCTGATTAGATCGGGAGGAATTGGAGAAGGTTAAACACTTAACTAAATTCTGGGGACTGATATTGGTGCCTGCTGAGCTGGTTAGAATGACAGTGTGCAGTGGTTTTGATATTTATGCTGCAGTGATAGCTCACATATACACTGCTTATGTTATCATAGCCCTATTGGCATTTGGACAGAAAAATAAATGGTGTGCATTGCAGGAATTGACAAAAGGTCACCAGACAACATAACTTAAGCAAACAAAAGAATTTCAAAGAGGGTGCAAAAGGCCACTGGTCTGATGATTATTCTAACAAGCAAAAAGAGCTGAATTGAATTTGCATTAAAAAGGCTTTATACGTGAATAATGTGTTGTATGTGGGGAATGCAGAGGGCCTTATCTCTATATACAACTCCACCTATTCAACTACTTTTTATCACACTGACCCTTTCAAAATGGAGAAACCCAAAATCCAACATGGGCTGAATGACACACCAGAGCTGTACGACTTGCAAAACTCAGAAAATTTGTAAAGAAAAAAATTTTTTGAAAGAATGTAAGAATAGTATTTCTCAGAGAACAGTTAAAACTGCAATGAATGAATGTTAATTATTTTGTTACATAACTGTTAACTATGAAGCAATATTTAAGTTTTCCTTTTATTTCCAAATGTCAAAATATAAACATTTAATTTAAATATCAAGTGCGCCCATTCTTCTCTCTGTCTGATTCTTCTCCAATTTGGCTAATGCAAACCAATTTTAAGCCAGTTTTTCTGTTATTTAGAAACAGTGTCTGTTGTTTGAAACTGATAACTTGGTCTCTTGATATAATGCCCTTTTGTTTGTTTTTTAAAACCAGAAATTGACATTATTGGCTCCAGTACTGTCTTTTCAACAGCTCTCCTGCTACAGTTTTTTTAACATACTGTTTAAAACAAGCAGTAATTCAATAACCCAACACCTGAAACTCGAAAAAAAAAAAGGCTTTTAAAATGCTGTTTCCAAATGTCTTTTAAAACAATACAATATTTTGCAATTAGTCTTGCAATCATCATCACACTCCATAATGCAGTCTCCCTGAGAGACTGCATTATGGAGTCTCTCAGGGATTCATCTTTGGTACTTTGCTCTTTTCACATTTTCTCTTGGCAAATTTATTCAGAAGTAGATTTTTTCTCTGTTATACTGACAACACTATTGAAAATATTGGATTTCAACAACAAAAACAAAAAAAACGGGAGGCAATTTAATGTTATATGAACAATAAAACTATTTTCTACCTCTTAGCTCTTGGCCTTTTTTGTGCCAATGTAAGATTCATAAGACCTCCTTTCTTTAGGACTATGGGTTTGACAATTTTTGGGTGAGACCCATTTTGACCATGTAATTCTGGAAGCATGAATAGGTGTAGTTCTGCAGCGAGATGCAGCAGCAAGAAACCTTCCCACATATTATACATTTTAATGTGTCCAAGGCCCTTCATTGCCCCCTCATTCACCCACCCTACACAATACGGACAAAATGCTACCTGCATTATTGCCGTACAATTAGGCCGTCAATCATCACCTCTGCATTTTCACTTTTTCTTTCTGCTCTATTATTACAAAGAAAATCATATATTATTTATCAATCACCTTATGGTTTTCTTTTTTAGTGCTTTGTATGCTTCAAAAAGAAGGATTGAGTAATTTGGGGTACCTCTCTTATTCTCATTACTGCACACAGAAATAACAAAAGCACAATAGTAAGGATTTGTTTTACTTATGTTTCTTGTGAATTCCATCATCGATACTCAATGAAACTGATATTTGTGCTTGTAAAATCCCCAGTATTTTCAGTAGATTAATATGGATACTGAGAAACCTGTAAATATTTATGAGAGTGAAGCAATTTGGATAACATATACACAGAAAGGAGAAGTCTGTGGGTTTCTTACCAACTACACTTGGTAATCTACTTTGGAATTAATTTGTAAGCGGAAATGAAGGGCTCTGAACCATGCAGTAAGAATGAAGGTAGTAGGACAACTAGCCCATAGACTCTCTCTTGTTAACATTTAATTAAATCCTTCACCTTGACGTGTCAGTACTTTGAGAGCCAGAACTATTTGATAATTACCTTTTAGTTTTTTTTAATGATGGCTACTTTTACACCATAGGACAAATTCAAAGATTACTGGGCTTTTTTTATGAGATAAAACCATGTGATATAACGTTATCTTTTGGGGGTATTTACTTTGTCAAAGTGAGCTTTGTTTTATTTCCACACTGGCAGCCATGCCACCAAGCAAATCACTGCTGGAGGGGTAAAACTGGCGCTCATTTGAACCAAAGACATTACAGTGACATCAAATAGTGTTTCAATTAAGCTTGGGGTGTGGGCACAAATAGTGTAGCTATGAGCAATGATGAGTATCTTGGCATCTGTCAATCAAATTTAAATTATTAAGAA